GTGTTGTTTTGTTATAGAAAAATATTCCATGATTCATTAATTTTATTTTTTTCATTACTGAAGTACATTTCTGAAAGAAGTTATGAGCAATTTGGTATTTTATTATTGTCGTGCAATCTGAAAGTAAATAAAAATCATATATTTCATCCACGGAACAAAATTTGAGATTTTTTTTGAAGTTTTGAGTGAAAATTGACATGAGACATTGGTGGATCTATTAATCGTGAGATAGCTAATTATTATTGATTTGATTGGCTGATGCAAAATGATTTTTGTTTATGTTTATTTTATCTTCTTTTCTAATATGATCTTTTGGAGATTATTAAAGAATTGGATGAGTAATTTTTTCGGGCTGTGAATTACGGCGGAAAATGTCGGCTTTGTTGGATGTTTTGACTTGCACCTTTCCTAACGAAACACCCTTAGGTAAAATCTCATAATTTAAATAAATAACTTTCAATTAAATTGCTTGAAACTTTATGTTCCATCAAATGTACAATTGCTATTGTATTGTATAAGTTCTCCTTGCATGACTCCTAATAATTACAAGTGAATCACATATGAATTACATGTGATTCACGTGTAATTCACATATGAATCACATGTAATTCACATATAAATCACAAGTGAATCACATATGAATCACATGTAATTCGCATATGAATTACATGTGATTCACATGTAAATCACAAGCGAATCACATATGAATGACACGTGATTCATATGTAAATCACATATAATTCACATATGAATCACATGTAATTTACATGTAAACACAAGTGAATCATATATGAATTAATGTGATTCACATGTAATTCATATATGAATCACATGTAAATCACATATGAAGTACATGTGATTCACATGTAATTCACATAATAATCATATGTAACTCACATGTAAATCACAAGTGAATAACATATGAATTACATGTGATTCGCATGTAAATCACAAGTGAATCACATATGGATTACGTCTATATGCACACATGCATTTTGTGTGTGTGTTCTTCGTTAATTATTTTTCAAAATTTCTTGTCAATTTCACATTTGAATATTAAAATATACAATCACATGTGAATATCACATTATATAATCAATATGTGAATCCTACATGATATATATACATGTGCATTTTTGTGAGTGCTCTTTCATTAATCAATTTTTTTTATTTTATTGTAGATTTGATGAATTTGTGGAAAATATTGAAGATGTGAAAAGTGATACATTGAAGAAAATATGAAAATTTTGATATGAAAAAATAACAACATTGTGAATCTTTGTAGCATTTTTTATTTTTTTTATTTTATTTTGTATCAAATAAAATTCCTGTATTATTATGTTTATAGATTGATTAATAAAAAATAGATTTTTTTATGAATATTATAATATAAAAATGGATATATGCATTTGAAAAAATATGCATATATACACCTAAAATTTTGATTTTTTTTTTGTTAAAAAATTAGAGTTTTTCTTTTAATATTCTAATTTTTTTTTTAATTTACTGATTTTTAAATATTTACCTTTTAAAAAAATGTAGTTTTTTTTTATAAAAATGCAGTTTTTTTGAAAAAAGTTGCAGTTTTTTTTAAATGTTGTTTTTTGAAAAAAAAATGCAGCTTTTAAAAAAAATATATTATTTTTAAAATTCAAGTTTTCTGAAAAAAGTAAAAGATCTCCATTAAAAAAAATGAAAAATGATTTATTATATTAATTTTTAGAACATTTTATTAATATTTCCAATAACAAAAAAAATCAAACATTAAATGAGATCGGTAAGATGACGATCATGCCCTCAATGAGTTCATTTTGATCTAATGTTCCACCTTTAGTTCTCAGGTTCTCGGGAAACTATGAGTTCTCAATCGATGTCACCCCTATATATAGAGGTTGGATCATTTGAGAACTCATAGTTTCCTGGGAACCCGAAAACTAAAGGTGGATATATATATATATATATATATATATATATATATATATATAGAGAGAGAGAGAGAGAGAGAGAGAGAGAAAGAAAGAGAGAGAGAGGTAATTTTATGTTCCCATGATCATTAGGTAAAAAGGTAAATCATTAATTATTTTTGGAACCATGAAACATAGAGTTTTTTACAATAACATAGTAGTTTTCAAAAGTATTTACAACAAAAGGGTAGTTTAAAACTTATTTCTAAAATAATTGTAGTTTTATTTACAAAATAAATAAAAAAAAACCCTATTAGCATATGAAATAGTCTCCAACATCCCAATGCTTTATTTGCCTCATCGTTCATCTTCCATGTGCCGCCGGTCGTTGAAAACATTAATTACCATCGTCTTTTTTCAATTTTTTCTACGGTAAAGTTTTATTCACATTGACCTTTTTGTTTATGTTTGAGTGAAATTTTTATAGGTTGATTTTGACCGGATAAAAAGACTAATCGGCTCATTCACCAAGATACTTGTTGTTTGTATATTAATTTTAGGACTCTTAAATTTATTGTTTTTGATTCCCTTTCATCCAATACGTAGCATCAATTGAATCAATAAGATTGTTGACTTCATTGTTTATTTTTTATCATGATGGCGTGAATTTCTTTCAAAATTTTATTTTTTATATTTTATGGGCTTTGTAGTAAATGTAGATATGTATAACTTAATGTGTTACATTATTTTAAAATTTGTTTTTGTTTCTCCATAGATTTTATCAACATGGCATCAAAATTTGTTACTTTCTTATGCTATCGGGACGGAAAATTTTGTGACGGGAAAGAAGGTATAACTTACAACAAGTCTCCAAGTAAAGCTATCAAGGTTCAATGTGAAATAAAATTCAATGATCTGGTCAACCAAATCTATTTTGCAACATCGATTGACAAGCAACAATATCATATTAAAGTAATTTGTAGATACCCATCGGTTGTTGGAAAGGTAATGAAATATATTCCTCTTCCTATCAAGGACGATAATGACGTTGAAATTATGTTTGATGTGCTTAGTCTTCATCAAGAACTAAGCAACATTGATCTATACTTAGAGGTTGACGTCAATCGAAATAAAAATCACATGGATATAACACCCAAGTATTAAAATTCATATTACACATCAATTTTCAAAATTTTACCTTATATTGTTTTGTTGATGAACTTTTGTGAAGAATGTGACATTGTATAATAAGTTTGTGGCAATTTCTGCCATTGAGTAAAAGTTTATAATCTTGCCTACTGAAAATTTTCATGTTGCTTACATATAGAATAGGAGAGTACACGCCTAGGAGAATTAAAAATATTCAATTTGTTTTAGTTTTCCCATTTGTTTTAGTTTCTATCTCTGTATGCATTCATCATAAAGACAAAAAAGCAATCCATTTTAGTACATTTTTATTATTTTTTCCATCTCAATTTCATAATTATAATTTGTTATTGTTTTCACATACACATTTTTTTGTTACATTACTTGCAGAACACAAGAATCGGATTTGATAGAAGAAGAAATGAACACTATTTTATTACCTACTATGAATCCTATTGATGTTGTGTCAGACATGATTCACAACAAGGACTTCAATATAATTTCTGAATTTGCTGTTGTGAACAATGGAATGAATAGTGGATTTGGGACCTACTGCTCAAGCTAACGGAGATGTTTTTACTCCTCATGTTGCTGTAAAACAAGCGGCATCAATGTCAAAAGCTAGTGCACACACCCTCAAATCTTTCAACCGACAAGAAGGAATAATTGAGGTGGTAACTCAAAAAGGAAAAAATATGCAAGTAGTTGATTTGGAGAAAAAAAAACTTGCACATGTGGTAAGTGGGAGATATATAAGTATCCGTGTTCTCATGTCTTGAGTGCATGTGCCTATCTTTTTTTAAATACTAGTCAATATATTCAACGATATTACTCAATTTTTGAATATTCTGCTACGTGGGCATCTGACTTTTCCCCAATTCCTCATGAAGCATATTGGCCTGAGACGTCTATTCAAGGAATGCTTCCAAATTCAGAGTTAAAACGAAAAGAAAAAGGTCGTCCTCGCTCCACAAGGCTACGAAATGGAATGAACATTAAAGAAGGAAAGAAAGTTAATCTTGTGGATTGTGTAGACTAAGTGATCATAATAAAAAACATGTCCTTCTAAGCCTAGGAAACGACTTATGGATATGTGAATGTGTTTGATTGAGTAGTATTTATTCTAGATTTTTTTCGTTATATATGTTAAAAATAATTCATTTTATATTAGTAATGATTGATTATATAAGATTTATCCGAGTTATATTTATATTTATACCATTTGATGTTCATGTTACATTTGTTGGTATTTTGTTATGTTTGTATTTAAAATGGTTATAAAATATAAAACCAAACGTTTATAAAAAAATAAACCATGTACAATAAAACAATTATGAATTACTTCTTATTCTTTATAATTTAATATAGTTCAATTTTTTTAACCGTTCAAGAAAACATATAAATTAATAGTGATTCAATCGAATAATTTTGAATATAATGAATTGGTAAAAAAAAATATGGTTACGTGGTCTTTTTATTATTGTAAACAAACTATAAAATTAATGTAAAATCTAAATTACATTTTATTAAATGCAAACGGTTAGAATCTAACTACTAAAACCCAATATATTATGTTTTGGTAAATAACTTTGAAACAACAATGATTAGGTAAATACTTTTTAAAATTACAACCCTCAGGTACAAAACTCTGAAAAATATCGTATTTCCAAATGTATTTTCTAATAATAATGATCCACAAAGAAATCACCTCATTGTATTGTATTATTGTATTTACGTGCATCATTAACAACTCTTATTGTAAATTAAGCATTAACATACATATACATGGTAAATATATATATATATATATATATATATATATATATATATATATATATATATATATATATATATATATATATATATATCATACACGTTTATAGATGACAAGTTAAAAACCACTTTTTGTAGACAGTATAGTAGCTTTGGAAAGGCATGTGGAGGGACTAGGGAGGATAACGAATCTATAAATAATAAATGCATATCATACACGTTGTTGGCCTACCTGAATATTTTCATAATCTACAGTACACCATTAATATTTAATATAAAATCTAAAATTTGGATAAATAAAAAAGTTAGCTATTTTTTCGGTCTATTCAAAACGCAAACCCTCCCTACCTCATTCCCTCCATCTCCATACCCACGCATGTACCTCTCTCTTCCGGTCTTCCTCTTTCAAAGGCGTTTCTATCTCCATACTGCATACACCTTTCTCCTTCTCTCTCTCTGTACATAGATAGATAGATTCTACACATCAAATCCGAATCACCACCATTCCATTTCTCTCTCTCATATTTACAAATACATGCTTCCCTTGATTAATGGTTGATTCAAATGAGGAATCAACAGATTCTATGTCCATAGACCGTTGTACGCACAAAATCACCGCCATTTCTCTTTGGCATTAGATTGATTCTTCATCTTTCTCCCTCATATTTACAAATATATGTTTCCGTTGATTAATTGTTGATTCGGGAGACTGAATGAGGAATCAAGAGATCGAAGGTTCTGACGATGACGATATGGCGTCGTCGACACGACAAGGAGGTGGGAGCTACGGCCCAGTTGTCGCCCATGATAATGATCCTGTCGTCCTCGAGATGTCATCCATTGATCCTGGATCTTCATCTTCCTTGAAGTTAGTTTTTCTCCCTTTTATCTTCTCCTCGGCTCCGTCTGTGTTTTCAACGTTCATAATACTACTTGTAACAATCAAGGGCCGGACTAGAGAGATTAAGGAATAAGAAAGAAGAAAATCAGCAAACTGAAGTTGTTATAGGTTTGACATCGAAAAATATGCATAGCTAGTATATATTGGTAACTGCTCTCATGTAGAAAACTTTGGTACTTTGAGTCTATTTACAGTATAAATATGACGCAACAGCAGCCTGAAAATTCTTGTCATATTGTGAGAACGATCCCAATTAACCTCATTGCTGTCCCAAATGTATCCTATACTTATTTAGAAAGAAAAAAAAAGGCACCATCATTCTATTGGATTTGTGAAGAGGTATTTTTTGTGATTCGAGTCCATGATCTTCTCTTAAACATTACTGGTGTAGTGAAAAGGAGATTAGAAAATAAATGCTCCATAATGTGTTGAACACTTCCACATCAGGCAGACTCACTTTGTGAAGTGTTGTTGTTCAGTTGAGATCCCATTTCTCCTTATATCTATTCAACTGTTGTTTCTTTTAAAAGAAACTCTAATTGAAGTCTTTAGTTACCTAAGTAGACTGTAAAAAGGGTTTCACATGGCAACATGTTGTATATGCTTTGTTAATAGCTTGAGATATTAAATTATGTATGGCAGGAAAGTAAAAACTAGGCAGACAAGCACGGGTGCCAGAGAAGAACCAGCACGTAATGACCGAGGAGGAGAAAATGGTGGTCAGGGAGAATCTAAACTGGAATTATTTGGATTTGATTCTCTTGTAAATATCCTTGGTCTTAAAAGGTACAAATTATTTGATAATTTTACATCAACTTAAGTTTTGTACACTTTGGTTGTGAGCCATTGATCACTACACGCTACATATAGAAAAGATAGATATCTTCACCGCTGTTTATTATTACTAACTGAATTTACAATGAATGGTGGCTGTATTTGTATTTGATCTGATCGTGGGAAACTGTGATACTCATACTATAAGAAAATAGGCTATTAATTTGCACAACTGTCATTTGTTTCATAGCTCTATGAAATATGCTCTTTTGATGAAAAAGAAAAATCAAAAGTCAGTATGTTGCATGTTGTTCTCTCTTTTAGGAGATTTTGATCTCTGCTCTGGGTGACATTGGTTTTTTTATGTTCAATGACTTGTTTGTTTTGTCACTGATGTTTTGAGCTTTCCCATCTCAGCATGACAGGAGAGCAGATCTCTGTGCCTAGTAGTCCCAAAAACGGTGAGGATCATTCTGTTGCTGAACAAATTCCAAAGGTACTCTGCTCAAAAGTAACTACCCTAACCTAAAACTGGTTTCAGTATTATAATAAAGGCTATCATAATTCATGTCCTATGGAATTACTTAGTGCAGGTTAGCAACGGACACAAATTGGGAACAATGATGGGAGTCTTTATTCCATGCTTGCAAAACATTCTGGGAATCATCTACTACATCCGATTTTCTTGGTACATAACATCAATTTTTGTGCAAATATTTTTTGAATCTTCTTTTATCTTTCTACCAGGAACATGAATATTCTTTAAGGATTCTGAGTTTAACGTGAACTGCAACCTGGCAGGATTGTTGGCATTGCTGGCATAAGTCAATCCCTATTGTTGGTTACCTTATGTGGCTTGTGTACTATTCTGACTTCTGTATCATTGAGTGCAATTGCAACTAATGGTGCGATGAAGGTGGATATTCTGGGTTCCTTTAAGATATATCATATATATATATATATATATATATATATATATATATATATATATATATATCCATGGTGATATTGATTTTGTGGTTTTGTTTTCCTCTAGGGTGGAGGACCTTACTACCTCATAGGTCGTGCCTTGGGGCCTGAAGTTGGAGTGAGCATAGGATTATGTTTCTTTCTAGGAAATGCAGTTGCCGGTTCTATGTATGTCAGCATATATACTTACTTACTTATCATCCATCATCATCATCATCATCATCGTGTTTCTTATAGTTGACCTTTTGTAGGTATGTCCTGGGAGCAGTGGAGACATTTTTAAGTGCTGTCCCAAAGGCTGGCATTTTTAGAGGTGATTATTATTATTATGTACTATAATATAAGTTGAAAATAATCAAAAGAAAACTCTGAAAATATAGTTGTGAAATTTGACAGAGACTGTGATACAAATAAATGAAGCAGGGGTTGAAGAACCAATTACAACTCCGAGTGTACATGACTTGCAAATTTATGGGGTTGTGGTTACAATCATTTTAGTTTTTATAGTTTTTGGTGGTGTAAAAATGATTAACAAGGTCGCACCAGCCTTTCTTATACCTGTAATATTCTCTCTCCTCTGCATCTTCCTCGGGATATTTCTCGCACGCAGGGATGACGAAAGTACTATTTCCAAATCCTTAACCCTCTTATCCTCTCCAAAAAACCATAACTGTAACTAACCAACCTTATTTTTTTACTTTTTGCTTTTAATACAATAGCTGGAATCACTGGGTTGAGTTCAGACTCTTTCAGAGAGAACTGGGGTTCCTTTTACCAAAAAACAAACGATGCTGGAATACCTGATCCTGATGGTGAAAGATACTGGAACTTCAAGTAAGTTTCAGAATCACGTAACTATCAAGTATCAACAACATTTTTATATTGTTAATTTTTATTTTTATTTTTCCATGAAAAAGTGCATTGGTAGGGCTTTTTTTCCCTGCTGTAACGGGAATTATGGCGGGGTCTAATCGTTCAGCTTCATTAAAAGACACGCAGCGGTCCATTCCTATTGGGACATTAGCCGCGACACTCACCACTACTTTCTTGTATATAATATCTGTATTCCTGTTTGGATCTGTTGCCACCAGGGAGAAACTTTATACAGACAGGTAACAAACAACTGTTTGCTGATATATGAAATTCTCCTCTTTTTTTTTGTTATAATAACTCTTTTAAGTTTCTATACAGATTACTGACAGCTACTATTGCCTGGCCGTCTTCAACAATCATATACGTAGGCATTGTACTTTCAACTCTAGGTGCGGCCCTACAAAGCCTTACGGGGGCCCCGCGTCTTCTTGCAGCAATTGCAAATGATAACATCCTACCTGTTCTTAACTACTTTAAGGTTCCGGATTCGGGTGAACCTCATGTGGCAACCTTGTTTACAACGCTACTGTGTATTGGGTGTGTCATAATTGGGAATTTGGACCTCATCTCTCCAACCATAACCATGTTTTATCTTCTGTGTTATGCGGGTGTCAATTTATCATGTTTTCTTCTTGATCTCTTAGATGCGCCTAGCTGGCGTCCTCGCTGGAAGTTTCATCACTGGAGTGCATCTTTATTTGGAGCATGTCTATGTATCGGTCCGTATATGATCTAAAGCTGATCTAAATTCTAAAAAAGATTTTTTTTTTTTTTTATTTGATTCTTTTTAACTGTATATGATTTGGTCAATGCAGTAATCATGCTTCTGATTTCTTGGTCATTTACGGTGGTGTCCCTAGCTCTTGCTAGCGTAATATACTGGTATGTCAGCATTAAGGGAAAAGCCGGTGACTGGGGAGACGGTTTAAAGAGCGCTTATTTTCAACTAGCTCTTCGTAGTCTTCGATCTTTAGGAGGTCAGGTCGTGGTCGTGGTCTTCGTAGTCTAGTCTATATAAATATAGGTTCTTATATATATATATATTATATTTATCTAACCTTGTTGTTTTTAATTTTAATTGGTTACAGCCAACAATGTCCATCCTAAAAACTGGTACCCGATACCCCTAATTTTCTGTCGACCATGGGGTCAGCTACCGGAAAACGTACCTTGTCATCCGAAGCTTGCTGATTTTGCCAACTGTATGAAGAAAAAGGGCAGGGGGATGTCCATATTTGTGTCCATTCTAGACGGGGACTACTATGAGTGTGCCGAAAATGCCAAAAGCGCCTGCAAGCAGCTCGCTGCGTACACCGACTACAGACAGTGTGAGGGTGTGGCGGAGATAATCGTGGCCCCGACCATGGCCGACGGTTTCCGGGGGATTGTTCAAACGATGGGGCTTGGTAATCTTAAGCCGAATATAGTGGTGATTCGTTACCCTGAGATATGGCGTCGGGAGAATCTGAGGCAGATTCCGGCCACTTTTGTTTCGATAATCAACGATTGTATTGTTGCTAATAAAGCGGTTGTGATAGTGAAAGGGCTCGATGAATGGCCGAATGAGTTTCAACGACAGTACGGGACGATCGATTTGTATTGGATCGTTAGAGACGGCGGTCTCATGTTGCTTCTATCTCAACTTCTTCTGACAAAACAAATATTCGAGAGCTGTAAGATTAGGGTTTTTTGTGCGGCTGAGGAGGATTCCGATGCGGAGGAGCTTAAAGCTGACGTCAAGAAGTTTCTTTACGATCTTCGAATGCTAGCTGAAGTCATTGTGATTTCAATAAACTCCTGGGACCATCTCAACGGCGCGTCTCAGACTCAAGACGAATCGTTGGAGGCGTTTACCACGGCGCAAGGGCGGATTAAGGATTACTTGGCAGAGATGCAACAGAGGGCTGAGAAGGAAGGGAAGCCGTTAATGGCGGATGGGAAGAATGTGGTTGTGAATGAACAACAGGTGGATAAGTTTCTTTACACAACTCTTAAGTTGAACTCTACCATTATGTACCACTCCAGAATGGCCGCGGTGGTGCTTGTCAGCCTTCCGCCTCCGCCACTCAACCACCCGGCCTATTTCTACATGGAGTATATGGATTTGTTGGTGGAGAATATTCCTAGGATTTTGATTGTTCGAGGTTACCGTAGAGATGTCGTCACTTTGTTCACGTAGCCCAATTCCACTACTATCACAAGGGTATGTAGTCACATCGTAGATATTTGTTGTAAATTTAACGTTAAATTCTTTTTTTTTTTTATTCTTTTATCAGTGATTGTATTCAGTTGTATATTCCGTAGAGAATTCATACTTTTTCCTATTATAACCTTTTATAATGTTGGATTTAATGTTCAAGAGTTTCCCGAGAGGGGATAAATATCGAAGGCCTTGGTGTGGACTTCGATTAATGACACTAGCTGAATCTTCATAGCTTCGGCGCAAAAACGACTTGGAATATATATATATATATATATATATATATATATATATATATATATATATATATATATATATATATATATAGTAATTTATAACCCGTGAGAATTACGGTTATAAAATTAATTAGATTTTTATAATAAAATTTAAAATTATTAATCAATTATTTTAAATAAATTATTACTTAAGAGATTTTTTTAATTATATAAAATTATAATCATTGATTTAAACAAATACGTGAGATTATATCACTTTATAATCTGTATTGATTTTATTTTATTTTTTAATCTAATGTTATTAATTTAATATAATTAAATTGAAAAAATTTAAATTTTAAAATTTAAAGTGGAGAATCAATTATTAATTTAATGTAATTAGAGTGAGAAATTTAAAATTTTGAAATTTAAAATGGATAATTAATAGGTTGACAAGTGGCATGATTAGGGACATATAATATTAATGATGATGAGTTCTAATATTATGATACTTGTCAATAGGAGAATAAACCTATTCATTTATTAGAATAGGGATATATATATATATATATATATATATATATATATATATATATATATATATATATATATATATATATATATATAGGGAATATGACTTATCAAGGTAATTAACTTTTCGGTATGTTCACATCTGGGTAACTATCTTTTTTTTGTACATATCTAGGTAACAAACTTTTTGGAAGTGTTCACATATGACCATTATGGCCTGCTATAGCAGGTTAAATCCTAGATTTGAACGGTTTCAACAAGTTTGTTACCTAGATGTGTACAAAAAAAATAGTTATCAAAATATGAACTAAACGAAAATAAAAAATTAAATTACATGAATGGTCCCTGTGGTTTGGGGGAATTTGTGGTTTTGATCGCTAACTTATTTTTTTAACTTAAATGGTCCCTATTGTTTATTTTTGTTGCGCGTTTGGTCCCCATCTTACCTAAAAATACTATTGTGCCCTTATTAATTTATTTTTTTAATTTATTTTCTTATCTATGTATTTATTTTTTACATATTTAAAAAAATCAATAGACCACACATATTTGTATCTCCTTGGATGATCACTACTGTTTATTTTTAATTAATTTTTTTTTAACTCGGATGATCCCTACTGTTTATTTTTGTTACGCGTTTGGTCTCTGTCTTATCTCAAAATACTATTTTTTTCCTTATTAATTTTTTTAATTAATTTTCTTATTTATGTATTTATTTTTTTTATAAAAACTTAATATACCCCACATATATGTATCTCATCACCGTAAACCTGAAACCACATTTGAGAAATTTAATTTGAGTCTTACCATTCACCATCTCATCTCTGATCCTCCCCATCTTTTATTTGTTTTCCATCTTTAGTAACATCGACGTTTTCACCGTCCTTTTTTTTTGGTACTTCAACTCTGGCGAACCAACACCATAACCTATTGTCTCTTCATCTTTAGTAGGTTGTGGTGTTGATTCGACGGAGTTGAAGGACCGAAAAAAAAGAAGTGATGATGAAGACGTCGATATCACTAGAAGAGATACAAATATGTGGGGTCTACTAATTTTTCTTAAACATATAAAGCATAAGTACATAAACAAGAAAATTAATTAAAAATAATAATAAATGCACAATACTCTTTTTAAGTAAGATAGAGACCAAGTTCGTAACAAAATTAAATAGTAGAGACCATCCGAGTTAAAAAATTAAATTAATTAAAAAATAAATGGTAGGGATCATCCGAAGAGATACAAATATGTGTGGTCTATTAATTTTTTTGAATATGTAAAAAAATAAATACATAGATAAGAAAATTAATTAAAAAAAATTAATTAATAAGGGCACAATAGCATTTTTAGGGAAGACGGGGACCAAACGCGCAACAAAAATAAATAGTAAGGACCATTTAAATTAAAAAAAATAAGTTAGCGACCAAAACCACAAATTCCCCCAAACCACAGGGACCATTCATGTAATTTAATTTTTACTTTTCGTTTTGTTCATATTTGGGTAACTATTTAATTTGTACACATCTAGGTAACAAACTTGTTAAAAGTGTTCACATCTAGGATTTAACCTGCTATAGCAGATCATAATGATCATATGTGAACACTTCCAAAAAGTTTGTTACCTAGATATGTACAAAAAAAAAATAGTTACCCAGATGTGAACATACCGAAAAGTTAATTACCTCGATAAATCATATTCCCATATATATATATATTGTCGTGGATCATACTCCCGCTAATCTCAACAAGATGGTGGTTTTTTTATTGTCGTTCTTTCGTTCGGAAACTCCATTTAATTATGGAGTGCTTGCACATGACAACTATTGCTTAAATTTGTGCTTATTTAGTTAATCAGTGAATTTTTTAGTGAGATATTGTCTAACCTCAAACATGGTATATTGTGCTCCACATCTCTTTGTGCTTCAACTTTAAATTCTTTTAATTTATTGAATGTTTCAGCTCCTTCATGTAATACACCCGCACGAATCTTAAACAATCATCTATAAAAGTAACCATATATCTCATACCTCCAAGTGATGACTATTTGATAGGTCTAACATGTCTCGATGCACTACTTCCAAAGGTTCTTTGGCTTGATATATAGTCTTCTCAAAAAGCAACCGCTTAGCCTTGCCATATTGGCAACCTACACATCTATTCTTGTCTATGCTTGAAACCCCGCTTTGATTACACCCTTGATTCATCACTTTCATCACCATCTTTATGATCTTGAAGTGTTCACGACCGTGACCTCTTCATAAGATCATGCATGGGCCGTGAACACACCATGTGTTCTAGGGTCGTGACTCCCCTTTGGCCGTGACCCTTCATGGTGTGGCCGTAAACTCCCCTAAATCAATCACATGTGATTGTAACACTTCATGTCAAGTGTTTCCTAGTCCAAGGGTTGTTCATCTTAGCATGTTGTTATATACACTAACATCATGCTTATATGTATCATTATATGATGTTTAGGATCTATTGTGCTTCGGGACTTCATTCGTGTGTGTATAACACTCTTATTCAGGTCTTCAAACAAATCATCAACATAAGGTGAGTTCATACCCTACAATCAACCTTTTAACTGTTTTAAATGCTTTTTTTTAGGGGGGGGGGGTATCAATTGAACACACTTGAAATTGTGTTAGTATAAACATTTATATACTTGCTAAACATCTTGTTTCAGACCGTTTTCAAACACATTATCAAACTACTTTTAAAACATTGTTAGACTTCTTTTTAAAACCCTTTTCAAACTACTTTTAAACTCTTTTCAACTCTTTAACTTTCAAAATCCTATTCCTTTATGTATTAGAATATAAATATGTTTTAATGGACTTAGGACTATTGTTAATAACCTTGACTCATGTTCCTTGTTTGGTTGTGGGCTTAGGGTAGGATACACTAGTTCGACTGTCGATTAACTCATAATTATGCATGCTAAATACATATACGAATATTAAATCTTACCTTCAAAGTTATACTTAACTCAATCGTTCAAGATGAGCAATTGATTCGTTTCTTCAAATCGGATGCAAAACAAAACATACTAGTAAACTATCATAGGTATAGTTTAGAGAACTTATACATATACATATACACATACAAGTACAAGAAGAACACTATACATATACATTACCAAAAGAACATATACATTTACATATACATTTGCAAAAAGGAACATATACATTTATAGAAGGAACATATACAATTTTAAAAGAAACATATATAATATAACAAGAACAAGATAACAATAATGTGAGATCCTACTTCATGGCACAACAATATACTTGTTGTGTCATGTTTTTGTAACCAGAGTCTCCTGGAGGGAGAGCATGAAATGTGTGTATAGATCTATACGGGACAGACACTCCCACACCCCGACTGTTAGCTACAGTCCCAGCCGACAAGGCTAAAGGGTGACAAAATGTCACATCGTTTTGATGCCGGATGATCGTCGTGTTTAAAGCAGTCAATCAGCATGGTTACAACCTTATAACATTTTACCTTATTTTAACTAACTGGTTTTAAGGTAATTAGTACTTCAGTAGGGTATTTTACACAAAAAATACTGTACATCTCCATTTTTCCCATTACTTTTGTTTAGTGATTCTCACATCGAGTAATGCAAACTATTTCTAGTAAAGATAGCCAACATATGGAAAAACATATTTTTATACATATATGAAATACAAACATACTTTCTATACTAATTCAAGTACAAACTCAGTTATTACATTTTTTTCACAAAAACAAACACACAAGTAGTCGGGTCTTGGTAAAAGACTACTTTCCATTTTAGTAGAAAATATAGAGTTTTCTAGAAAGTATACAAAAATTTATATCAAAACACTTGATTACATTTTCATAAAGCAAAACAACCATAACTAAATACTTATGAACTCACCAGCTTAAATGATGATCCTCTCTTTCAAAATAACTTGTATTCTCAGGAAATCCAGTAGACAGGTACACATTCAGAGCTTTTAAGAAGACTGTTTAGTGTTGTGCTGCATCTTTTGTCTTTTACTATACCTACTTTTAAATGTTGAATAGCTCAATGTTGAACTTATGTAAAAACTTATACATTATTAATGCAATGGTTGTTGTACTTTGATTTCTATAACGCATGTGTTGTGATACTTAACATGACGTCCTCCGCCCCCCGAATGTTTCCGCCAATTCGGTTTGGGGGTGTGACAGATTGGTATCAGAGCATTGTTTATAGTGAACTCAGTATATCAATTCATAAAAGATATACAATTATAAATACATTGGGATAAAAACACTCTAACCAAGAGTTATAGTTTAAAATATAACAAAATCTTATAAAAGTATAAGTACATCCATAACATATACATATATATATATATATACATATATATATATATATATATATATATATATATATATATATATACTAGAATAAGTATCACAAGAAGAATAAGATAAAAGTTTTTGGATGTTGGACATTACTGTCAAACCTGGGCAGTTATGTAATCATATATGGGATAAATATAGTCTGATCAACTGTATTTATTTGAGATACGACCAATGTGTGTCTGAGAGTGATGGTGGTGTTGCAACAAGTCTGAAACTTACCAACCATATACATAAAGGAATGCTTGAGCCAAAACATAAAGTTTAAAATACTATAGGAGTGTTTTATGATGCTATATAATAACAACAAACCTAAAAATGTGTCAAGAAATTCTAGAATCAAACAAATAATTAAAATACTATAGGAGTATTTTAGGTTCCATAAAATAAACTTATGTGAAAACTAAAAAGACCCTTACTAGTAGGTCTATAACTGCGAAGTGTATGCTTCCAATATTATATATATAATAAAGATCTTATAGACTCAGAATGTGGGGTTTCGCTTTACTTCCTTTTCCTTATTTGTATGTGGATATAGAGTGGTATCGTGTATTCGAAGGTCTATTAGATATGAGTTGGATATAATTTGTATGCACTATGTGATTCTAGAAGGACCTGGTAAGGATCACACAGTGAAATGTTTTATTAACCTCTTAAGACTCTTTAGACATTCCCATTCTCGTATAAACCCCTTTAGATAGTTGTAGCCACATCAACAATCAACAGAAGAGTCAACGAAGATCCAGAAAAGGTTCATTATGAGGATTTCCGAAAAAGAGATTGATGAACAATAAAGAAACTATAGAAATCATCGTGTGCCTTTACCCTATTAGATACATCGGTGAGAAGTTCGCCTGAACTTCCAAGATTCAAACTCTCAATTATGAAGTAGTGAGAATCAGTGCCAGAATCGGAAGTAGGACAGCATGGAAATTCAATATACCTGCGAAGGAAAAGGACTCTGTATAGGTCCTAGGAGAGAGCCAAAATCATTATCGCCTAGAGTAAAACAAAGAACAGAGGGAGGCCACAGATGAAACATAAGCAGTGTTTTTGTACCTATTGTGTCACCTTAATAACAAATAAATTAATACAACTTAGTGAGTTAGTGATTACACTACTCACATTATGTGTTAGGCTTAACGCCTCTTTCCGTCACGGCTAAAACCAGTAAATCGGATCACGAAATCTCAATTGAGAGTGATTGTTTCTAAAAAATCACAAGTCTTTCTTATGTAGTCTCTGTTCTGAAATTGCTTTCAAATCCTTTCGAAATCGGAGAGTGATTTCCCCAATTTAAAGATAACTTAGTTCAAGCGACACCCGATTTATGACCTTTTCCTAAAAACTTACTTCTACCCTTTTACCAGGATTGCATCAAAGGGATGTAGGTTGAAACTTTAAGAACCACAAATCAAAGCGCGGAAATTATATATGCATATATAAATAATTAAAATACATCTAGAAACAACCATCGTCGCTCACGAGCTTGTTTTCTTATCGTGTAGCAGAATCATGCCTCCGAAGAAACGTAACCAACCCACCTACAAAACACCAACTCTTCAGATAGATGCAACTACGTTTCAAGCTGCAGTTACAGTAGTCGTAGCAGCCGTTATGGCTCACCTGAATGCTAACAACACAAATGTTACTGGAAACATTGTCGGTAATCCCGATCATTGCGATAGCCAAGTGCAGCAACTAGTACCAGTGTGTAAAGACACACCGAACCTCAACCCTAAGAGTAAGAAACGATTGTTCTGGGATAAAAAGAAGTGCAAATCATCTCAAAAGATGGTCAAGAGACAGCACCTAGTGGCAGCCTCTACGGCCACGACATCTACTGCTTTTACTACTATTCCTACTGATGTCCTAGTTACTCCTACCCTAGCAAGGCAGTATGCCGGGGACCTACCCTTATGCAAGCAGTGCAATTTCCATCACCTGGGAGTCTGCCGAGTGTTGCACTACATGAACTGCAACAAGAAGGGGCACATTACCCGTTTCTGCATAATCCCAATCTGATACATCACTTCAACCACCAAGATTGGGATCAGTCCAATAGACCACCTATGTGGTGAAATGGGACATTTCAAGAGGGATTGTCTAACATAAAGAAATGACGATGGTGCAGAAGGAGTTTAACGTCGGATCATGAAGAAGCATCAAGGAACCCTCTAGAAATTTTGGTACGCTTCTCAACTTTAATAACCAATTAAAATTATAATTGTTCTCTCGTTAAGACAAAATCACAGCACTGTTATAAAAATTTTAAACCCTATCAGGTAAAGCTATGATGGCTTAGAGTATACTATAGGACCATTTATAATTAAGATTTGTAGACCTCGAGTGAGTGATGCGGCCTCATTTCCTGTTCCTTGTTTGGTTGTGGATTTAGGGCGAAGTCACTCAGTCAACAGACCTTCCAATCTTAATTATACATGGCTAGTATATACCAGGCAGTTATAGAGAGACCTTATGGGGACCCTTCCATGAAACGTACATTATTCCAAATTATCAGGACCCTCAAATTGTTAGCGCTCGTTATTTTCGGTTCTAAAAGTTCGCAGTAGTAATACCATGGACGAAACCGGAAGCACTGAAGTCTTAGGTGCTTGGTATAGCACATCGTCCTGATGATCATTTCTTCCATATCGATTCGATATTTATTTATGTCGTGAATTTTTCAACATCGTCATCTATCATGGTTTGGCTTGGCCCTCACCATGCAGAAACTTATGTGATGGGTAAAAGAACTTTCATCCTGGTTATCCATCAAATAAAAATTCTTCTGATCTATAAATGGAAAACCTAATATGAACCATCATGTCGTCTCCCGATTTCCAAACTCCAGAAGTACCCAAAAGAGGGGTACTACGCCTGGTGTGACATCCCCAAAATCTTGGCTAGAAAAGACCGGTTTCATTTATGCTTTTTAAACATTTTCAGAGTAAATCCTTTTAATTTTAAAAGAGATGCGGAATTTGTTCCCAAAAACAAAACATGATAAAATAGATAGTTATCAAAACATTTCATAAAGAAATATAATTTCATTTCATAATCAAAAGTCGGGATGTCATGTTCCGATACAGATCATAAAGCATAAACGATAGCATTACAAGCACTACTAGAAAAAAGGCCTTTTATGACGCTCATTGCGCGTCGTAAAACGCTCAGACGACGCGCAAATGCGCGTCAAGGAAGGCCCTGTCATAAAGAGAGACGGCGCGCTTTTGCGCGTCATCTATAGACGACGCGCATTTATGACGCGCATTTACGACGCGCTGTTATGACACGCAATGCATATCAAGGAAGGCCCTGTCATAAATGAAGACGACACGTGTTTGTGTGTCGTAACCTTACGACGCGCGTGTTTATGACACGCAATGCGTATCAAGGAAGCCCTTGTCAAGAAAGGCCATGTCATAAATGAAGATGACACACATTTTTGCGTATCATAATTTTAAATGTTCTAAAAAAATATATTTATTTATTTATTAATTTTTAAATTAAATTTGCATTTAATGTCTCATAACAGAAAATAAAATACCATATACAAAAAATACAATCCATTGCATAAAATTTATTGTCATACAAATAACAAACTGTATTTCATATTCATACATATGATTACATTATTCATTAAAAAAACATATACCTACATCTTCCCCTAAAATGTTATTACATGATGTTGGCGACACCAAGAGGAAAAGCAACAACTACCCTAAATGTTCCATGATGTGCCGATACTCATGTCCTGTAACTTTAAATATTAAAGAAAGTAAAATACCTCCTAAAAATAAAAATGCACAAGAAACAACACATCATAATGAGAAACTACTAACATGAATGGAAGAAGTACACTATAAATTTGTTTTACCAAGAGTGGCATGGACGATCAGGTGCTACAAAGTTTTTCCAAGCTGCCAAACAAAGACTGCATGCAAACCAAAACATACGTACACTATAAATTTAATTATCATACAAATCATATTCATACATACGAGTTTGTTTTACCTTTTTTTCCTCATATCTTTATCTTTTTTATTCTTATTATCCATTGAGTGTTGGTGTTTTCTTTTCTCTCGTTCAATCAACCCTTTGTTTTACTTTGAAAAATTAACAATTTCCCTACCAGTTGACTCTGCATCAAACAGAAAAAAGTAAGTCAATCAATAGTCAATGGTGAATACCAACTACAAGTTTTTACTGAAGTAACCTGACACCATAAATACTTTGGTTTAATAAACAGGAACATGTATGTATAAAAATCGCAATCAAAGTAGTTTGGTCTAATACCTCTATTTCTAGTAAGTGTCCAATCATTGTTTGTGAAGGTTGAAGACCTTCAAACAAAAAACTCCCAGCAATGTCATTAATGTGCATCTTAAGAACAGGAAACTATTGTAGTTCATGCACTAGACAACTATGGGTGATCTGAAATATTTCCCAAATATTTATTTATTCTGAATTATAAAAAAATAAAAAGAAAAAGAAAAAAAGATAATACCTTTACTAATTCATTGTATACAAGTCTAGCACATTGAAGACAATGATCCAACAACCGAGCTATTTGTCTTCGAACCAAAACTTGAAGTGGAACCTATATAATTGTATTAAAGGGTTAAACTATTAATATAAATAAATAAATAAATAAAAATTTAAACCTCTTGCACGAATAAAGCGGATCCAGGACTAGTTGCATGGTGGATTGTAGTGCGGATGTCTTGATCAGTTAATCTCTCAAATGGATCTACTTCCTGTAACAAGGACATATGAAATGTATATATATATATATATATATATATATATATATATATATATATATATATATATATATATATATAGAGAGAGAGAGAGAGAGAGAGAAAAATAATAATGAACCTGTTTGCACCTGCCATTCGGACCACAGACATCATCTGCGTTTGCTCCTGAAATCAATAACATAAGAATTAATAGTAAGTCAACATTTAACTATTATTTTAATTATTGATGTGAAAGAGCTCACTCACATGCTAGAATTTAAAAGCCCAATGCCCAGTACCATGTTGTTGCTCAAAGGATAAAGCCCAAGCATTCGGGTCCCCACCATGTTCTTGGGAAAATTCATCAGCCCAACCATCTGCACGGGGCCCAGGCCCCATGACTTGCGACTCCCCCCAATACTGTTCCAGCTCTGCGTATCTACCATGCATGTGCTCCCTAACCAACCCCTCATGATTATCGATCTCTAAATAAGATAACAGAGCATTCACCTAAACAAGTATTAATATATGTATTCAGTTATCTATCAAGATTGTATCTTAGGTAAGTCAATAGAGTAGTTGTAACTACTCAAATTTTCATGGTTTATAGAACACGTTGTGATTTCATCTTTAATAGCCTTGCCAAATATTTTGATTTGAATACTTAATTACCAAACAACCTTTCAGATTACAGAAAATGATAAGAACACCAAGCATGGTCATGTCACTAAACGAGGCCTTAGCTTATTACAATAGAATTGGTTGTTGTTGTTGGAAAGAAGAATATTTGATTTTCAGCTAACTTTCCTAATTCCTAGTTTAATTCTCTTGTTTATATGTAAAATCTTCATCAACTTTTTCTTATCTAATAAGGTTGTTCCCTCCCTGAATCATAACAAGGAACGTGAAGCAAAATCTCAAATCTTTTTATTAGTCAAGACTTAAGACCATATCAACCTTCAAGGCTGTTAAATCTAACTTATATAGTGATCAATAATGTGTGTATATATAGAAAAAGTGTAGGTTGTGTCATCATACCTTAAATGAGAAATTATTGAATGAGTAATTCACATTGAGAGTTGAAGCACCAAATTCTTCCAGGTTACCACATTCATCACCCAGCCTGTTTAATCACACAGCCAAATGATTAAGGATTACAAAAGAAACCAGGTATGTGTGTGTGTCTGTGTGTGTGTGTGGAAAAGGATGCATGGATATGAGATCATACCTCTTCCTCTAGCATATTGCCGAAAGAACTATCACCAAATGTGCTGCTTGTATCAGACATATCATCAAAATCACTGCCTCCATCAACCTGCTAATCTTCTGGATTCCAAATAGACCGGCTCATGAAATAACTTGTGTCCAGAGTCTCAGCAGATGGTATGAATGTAGCCTGATTGAAACATACCCCCACACAACTCAACTCAACTCAACTCTTATAAAACAACTTTTTTTTTCTTAGAATAAAAGTTTAAAATAGATGAAATTACCTTCTGCCTTGCAAGTGTGTCCCAGTGGATATTCTTAAAGAAATGGTGCATCTCTACCTGTTTGTTTATCATTAATAAGTCACACACATCATTTATCAATTAACTTCCTACCTCTTTGCCTTATATATATATATATATATATATATATATATATATATATATGATGGAGAGAGAAAATGTTACCTGTACAGCCCCTATGGCACCAAGGCGTTGAGCTGGATTTTCAGTCAGCAACCTAAAATTAAAATAAACATAAACATAATTATAATTATGTATAAATATGTGATGATTGGATTGATTGATAAAAAAGTAGAAACTTACTTATTAATCAGATCATATGCTTCATAGCTCATCTCCTCAGGAATCTTGGTCCATGTTGTATCTCTGTTCATAATGTTGGCAAAGACTTGCTGCACCCTAACCCAACCAAATTCAGAAAATGAGAAGATGACCAAAGTACGTTTGTTACCTTTTTATGCAATGCAAAGCAATCTACCCTCCATCCTCAACAAAGTGTCATATTTTTATGAGAGTGAGTACCTGTGGAGATTCTGCATTAAACGGTGGTATCCCTACAAGTAGCTCAAAAAGAATAACACCAACAGACCACCAGTCAGCGGTTGCACCTACAACAAACCAGACCAAAGGAATTAAGTGTGTTTCAACTTTCAATATATAGATAAGCAATAAGCAGAAAGACATTTGAATAAATGATAAAGGGTAAAGGGAAGGGGTATAATTGTAAATTCCAACCATGTCTCGCGCCAAGAAGTATCTCAGGAGCCAGATAGTCAGGAGTCCCAACAACCGACTGTTTCTAAGAAGTTCTAGTGGGATTCACTGAGTCAATTCCAGTGGCCTAAGCCCTTTTGATGTTTATTAGCAACAATAGAGACTGCCTTCAGATGAGTTGAGTTATTTTAAGCGGAATACATTTAAACAACACTACATTCTCATCTGTTTTCATCTCTCTCAACTTGGCAACAAAGTTAGCAGGTTCTGAATAAAGTACACGTGGATCTGCCAAAACATGTCATACATACATACCTCCAGTTAAGCAATACATTAGATATATCAAGAAAATGATATTGGCACAAATTACCAAATAAAAAAAAAAGTAAACACTACAATATGTCACTGTTGTTATCTTCTGGAAAGGACAACCTACCATTATTCCAGCAGTAACAACTATGGCTGGATAATTCTAAGCTTTTACCTATTCAAAATAGACACCCATCAGTAATTAACTTCAACATTTTCATTTGATGATCTGTGAGATGGATTTATGTTAGTTAAACTGAAACAAGATACATTGGCACTCACATTGTCAACTGGCGAATATGATTTCATGTAAAAGTAGAACTCTTCTTTCCGAGGATCACCCCATTCCTGCAATAGAGCAAGTCATTCACATTTAGAAAGAAACATACTAATATTATCATAGCATCCAGCTTTGAGTTTCCAAAACAAAAATATTATATATAAATCACCTCCCATTCTGCAATTGTAAGAGGAATAGTTGGACCAAGCATTGTAGTCACAACATCTACAAATGGTACTCCAGCTACAGTAGCCTTAAATAAATCAGGTCTCATGTTCACAACAGCACCAATAAGCAACCCCCCTGCACTTCTTCCATTAATGGACAACTTTTCTTTCCTACAATATTTCTTTTGGTTTGAGAAGTTTGAGTTTCACCTATGTCGTTGGGTGATTGAAGGCGTCGAGGCTGCGTTTTCTTCTTAGAGAGAGGGAGGGCAAGAAAGTAAACACAAACTTCACAGATTATAGAGGTTATCGAAACCAGTAAGGGGAACACCAATGAAAAATCCAACGGATTATTGAGAGAAAAACTGATTTTTGTTTGTTTAAAAGCTAGCGAAGTATTAAGAAATTTCCAATCTAGGATAATTTAGAAAGCAGATATATAGGTACCTGTTTTGACTAGAACCGCAACTGGACTAGGGTTTGTAAATTTAAGGAGTTGTTGTAGATGGAGTAGGGTAGAGGTGAAGAGGAGTTCAGTTACGAATTTTATGTTGAGATTATTGTGTCTAAATTTCGCCATAAAGATACGATCGAGAGAGAATGGTCTTCGATTTTTGGAAGGAAGCGAGGCTGTTACAGAGAGGGGGGATCAGACTCACATGGAGATCTAAGGAGAGAGTGAGCGGTCTTCGATCCGATCGAGAGAGAATCATCGCCATAAAGATACGATCGAGGAAAATCGTCTCGAGAGGGGAAATTATTTGGGAAGAACTTGAAGCATTTGAAACCCTAGACCTTGATTCGATGTAACTTGACAGTGGACATTGTAGATTGATAGATTAAATACCTGGAGCAATCCCTTGTGATGAAAGTTGCGCGATTACAGAAAGTCCTTGTTGACCGGATCCAAAGATTCCGTCAATGGCTCTATCGGGTTTGGTTAAATCCCCAGTTTGGAATGTGCTACATCTGGTTCATGAACTTGCCAAGTTAATTAGGGTTTTTTTAATGAAAAATGAAAGGGGTTAATGGATTAGGATGATGTTGTACCTGAGAAAACAAAGAAAAAGAAGGAGACCTCGCAGATCAATTACGATTCACCTTCGAGGTTTACAGAGAGACGGGAGGTAGAGAATGAAGAGAGATCTAGAGGAGAGAGTATCTGAGAGGGGTGAGTGGATTGCAAGGATGAAAAATATATAGAAGATAGAAAAAACAAGGCGGGTTTTCAAAATTTTGGGGATTTCGTTTCCCCCTTCATTAACTAAAAGCGCGTTTAAAATTATAAAGCGACATGTACAGACGACGCGCGTTTAAGATAAAGCGCCCTCCGTGTTTCTAATTTTTTTATTGAGACACTAAATTAAGGGCACGCAATAATGCGTGACGTAAATCCTTAAATTTTTTGGAGAGATAACACTATTTTAAGGGCACGTCCTATTGCGTATCGTTAATCAGCGTGTGTCGTAAAAAGCGCGTCATTAAAGGTCTATTTTCTAGTAGTGAAGTCATTCAACAAATATATACATATACAGACTTGTAAACAAAACAACTTGATGATTCGTCCATCTTAAGCTCTTGCGCCACTTCCTGTAATAAAAATAAACTGAGTGGGTCAGGCTTGGGAGCCTGGTGAGCATATAGGGTTTTTAACCCACATTAAATATTTAATTTAACAATCAATAATAAACCCGATTACCCATTCCCGTTATCCTCACTTTACGTCCCTAAAAATAACATCTATTATAAGGAACCTAATTCAGGATTTTCATCGGGAAAGACATTACTGCAGAGGGGTTTCCTCAACAATAAGTGTCCTAAAGGCAACCATGTGGGGGATAGAGTACACCGGTGAACACGTCGTTCACAACACCTACAGGTTATGAGCATGCTAGTGTTCCACAGGACAGTCTAGAATAGTCCGTGGTCGTCATCCATACTTTGTTGAATGACTAGAATAACACCAACAACACCGAGGCCTCTCATCTATTTATTACACACCAACTATCTACCTATGTTCTACCCAACATATTAGTAGATAAAAATATACATATTTTATACATAGTTTAAAAACCTGTATAGCATGCTTTAATCAATACATATTCCACATAACATATGAGGCACACACACATAACACGTATCTCATAGAGAATAAATCAGATCTATGAGATAGAAGAGAGTGAATATACACTCACACATATAACAACAAAATATATACGCATAACACGTATTTTATATAAAATACTTCATAATATTGCGTTGGAAGAAAATGACCACACACTCACTTGATCAAAAGATGATCGAGCAGCACTACGGCTTGCAGAAGAAGTGTTTCTCTATAGATCTGGAAGATCTTCACAAAACTGGGCTCCTCGCGGACAAGGCTTTGGCTCGGGAATAACACTCTTCGGGATCCTCGGGGCTTCGGATATTGCTTCAGGGCTCGGGAATATTACCGGGGCTTCGGGGTATAAATGGTATGCTAAACGAGGAAAAATATGAGTGAAAAAGGCAGGGTTTGTAAAAGGAAGAAGCTGGCTTCGCATCCCCTTTTATAGGGCTGAGCTTCGGGGTTACGTTGGGTGTAACTTCGGGGTACGCGGGGCGTAATGCCTCGGTTTCCGTCATCGCTTGCGTCATCGGCCCTCTATGTCATCGCATACGAACTTCGAACACTCGAGTGGTACGCTGGGCGTACACCAGTACGTTGGGCGTACTTCGGATGAGTTCGGTGACTCCCCATCGGATAATACCAACATTTAAAATTTAATTTAAATATTAAATATTTAATAAACTTCAAAAATTCATATTTCCCTCATACGAACTCCGTTTTCGACGTTCTTTATATCCACGTGTAGGTGCGACTACGCTCTACAACTTTCGTTTAGACTCTGTCGGTTAATTTTGATTTTATTTTTATTATTTATTTTTAGGAGACCGGGACAGAAAAACTTCTTTATAAATTCATAACTTCTTCGTCCGACATCCGTTCTCGCCTAACTTTTCATCGTTTCGCTACTAACAATGAGATCTTCGATTCTCGTTTAGATTGTTTCGGCTAAAAACCGCTCGATCTCAAATCGAGTATTCGGGTTGCACACTGCCAAGTAGAAACTTCAGAAAATCATAACTTCCTCATACGAAGTCAGATTTGGGCGTTCTATATATATTCGGAAACCTCGTTTCAACTACTACAACATTATCCAAAGATATCGAGTTTATTTTACACTTAAATTTTGACACTCATTTTATTCTTAATTAATCATATCACATTATTAAGCAATTAAGCACGAAACACATAATACTCAAATAATACATTCTTATTATTTCAAATTGGGTTACAAAGGTTAACCTAAACTATTACATTGCTAAAAATGGCAAGCCCAGAAACACAGGCGTTACAATTCTCTCCACCTTAGAATGATTCCGTCCCCGGAATCACACATCAACAAACAAATGCGGATAGCGACTCATCATGTCACTCTCCGTCTCCCAGGTGAGATTCGGCCCATTCGCGTGTTTCCATCAGACAAGCACTAACTCAACCATCTTACGTCGCAACTTCTTAGTCTTTCGGTCAACGATTGCCTATGGTTCTTCAATCAACCTTTTGTGCTCATCGATTCTTAACTCTGAAAGTGGAATCATGTCGGGAACTTCTCCCATGAACTTCCTCAAATAACACATATGGAAAGTGTTATGAATTCCATTTAGTTCTTCTGGTAGTTCAAGCTTGTAAGCTTGGTTCCCAATCCTCTGAAGAACTTTAAACAGTCCAATAAACCTTGGAGTTAATTTTCCCATTTTACCAAATCTTATAAGTCCCTTCCACGGCGAGACTTTAAGCAAAACTGAATCTCCAACTTCAAAAGTCATCGGTCTTCGCTTGTTGTCAGCATAACTCTTTTGACGATCCTGAGTTGCTAACATTCTTTCCCTAATTATTTTCAACTTTTCAGCAGTTTGATGGACTATCTCCGGTCCCATAAACTGCTTTTCCCCAGCCTCAAGCCAACAAGACGGCGTACGACACTTCTGTCCGTACAAAGCTTGATAAGGTGCCATCTTTATGCTCGAGTGGAAACTATTATTGCATGAAAATTCTAACAAAGGTAAATGTTCATCCCAGTTACCTAGGAATTCCATAGTACATGCTCTCAGCATATCTTTAAGTGTTTGTATCGTCTGTTCACTCTAACCATCAGTCTGCGGATGGTAAGTTGTACTTAAACACAACTTGGTACCCATTTCCTCTTGTAGACTTTTCCAAAACCTCGAGGTGAAACGGCTATCACGATCCGATACAATCGTTAATGGAACACCGTGAAGCCTCACAATTTCCTTCACGTAAGAATTCGCAAGCTTTTCCATAGACCATTTCTCCTTGGCTGCTATGAAATGCGCACTCTTAGTGAATCGATCAATGACCACCCAAATCATGTTGTGACCATTCTTTGTTCTGGGCAGTTTAGTGATAAAATCCATAGCAATGTCTTCCCACTTACCCATAGGCACAGGCAATGGTTCTAAACTCCCGTGCGGTTTCTGATGTTGTGTCTTGACTCTCGCACAAGTCACACACTCAGCCACATACTTTGCAACATCAAGCTTCATCGTCGGCCACCAATAGTAGGGTTTCAGGTCCCTATACATTTTAGTGCTACCGAGATGAATCGAGTACATGGTCTTGTGAGCTTCTTCCATCAGAAGATCTCTGACTCCTACTGTCTTAGGTATCCAAATCCGATCTTGGAACACCTTCAGTCCATTACTGTTTATACAGAACACCAACGTTTTGCCCAAACGTTCCTCCTTTCGGTCATTCTTCTCAGAAGCTTCCTCTTGAGCTTTCTTTATACTTTCCACAATGGTCGAGACAACTTCAATTCTCAACGCTCGTGGCCTTTTTCTTTCAAGATTGACTTTCCGACTGAGAGCATCAGCAACAACATTTGCTTTACCAGGGTGGTAAAGTATCTCACAGTCGTAGTCCTTAAGCAATTCTAGCCAGCGTTGTTACCTCATATTTAATTCCTTCTGACCAAAGAGATATTGGAGACTCTTATGATCAGTGAAAAGTTTGCACTTCATGCCATAGAGGTAATGCCTCCATATTTTCAGAGTGAAAACTACCGCTACCAACTCCAAATCATGAGTCGGGTAGTTCCTTTCATGTTCTTTCAATTGTCGAGATGCATATGCGATCACCTTATCTCTTTGGGTCAAAACACAACCCAATCCAACAGCAGACGCATCGCTATAAACAGCGAAGTCTTCAACTCCATCGGGTAGAGAAAGTATCGGTGCCTCACATAGTTTCTTCTTTAGCTTCTCAAACGCTTCTTTATGCTTATCACTCCAAGCATAAGTAGCTCCCTTGTGGGTCAAAGTTGTTAATGGACTGGCGATCGAAGAAATCCTTGGATAAACCTTCGGTAATATCCGAATAATCCTAAAAAGCTTCGAATTTCTGTGGGACTTTTTGGTTGTTCCCACTTCATCACAGCTTCGATCTCGCCTGGATAAACCATTATCCCTTCTTGGTTGACCACGTAACCCAAGAATTGGACTTCTCTAATC